CGTATTATCATAAGTATCTGAGTCGCATAGACAGGCTGTTCAAGAGAGCTTTTAAGCTTGGCTACTGTAAAGAGCTTTTTTCGATTGAAAATATTATTATTCTAAAAGATAAGAAGTTGTGGGCCAAGATCACCGACAGCGATTTTACAACAGCTTTAGATGACCTTTTGCCACCTGAGCGACCAATGGTTACGCTACGTAAGAGGCGCCATAATTATATTCTCCCGCTTGTCAGAACTGAACGTTTCAAGAGGACTTTTGTTAATAGATGTTTGTTCTCTTATTAGTTAGTTAGTCAGTTAGTAATTTAGTTAGTTCATTAGTTTTATACTTGCTGAGTTCATATCATTGTAACTAAACACGTTTGTTGTTTAGAATGCTTAATAAAGACTTTTATTATTATTATTATTATTTTCGATATGATATTTTATTTTCATAGACTTTAGAATTCCAATACCTAAAAAAAAGCAGAAAAAAGTATATTTTTTGAAGTACAGACCTTGTGAAGCTGCTATGTTTCTTAGCGGTCGAGCGGGTTGTCAGGGACAGTTTTTTCACGATTTCGAGAAAGATATGGTGCTTTCCATCCAAAAATCGAGTCAAAACAAGAGATTTTGTAAATATTGCAAAAGGATTGAGTGTAATGTACAGAAAACTATTGTCTAAAGCCAGATATGCTTGACCTCTTACAGAGTTTGTTAACTGGAGGGCATCCTCTCCAGTTTTGTGTTGCAATGCAGTATCCAAGCACATGACCTCTAGCTGCAAAGGGCCTATTGTTGTTCAATCATCAAAAATGATCTCAGTAGTTAAAATTTGTCATAAGTGGGACTCAACTACTTAGTGGGAGGAAAAACCAAATTAGATCTCTGCCATCTTCAAACTGGAATTCTCTGTGTTGCCATGTTGTATGACCTGCTACAGTTGCCTGTATTATCTGCACGATTCCTTTGGGACTTTAGTGAATGAAAGAGCTATTGTCTCATGAGAATAGTGGCAACTGTATGAAGTCTTCTGAAAAATGCAAGCATTAATATTTACAGTTTTTGTTCATTTCAGTTCTGTTTCTCAGTTTTTTCAATCAAATCTTCCTAGTGCACAGCAACTTGTTCTACCATTGGTGGTTTGTGAGTTAGGTGGTTGTTTAGAGAGGGAGGCAAGAGATTGTACTTGATGCCTGACACAATCAAATGTTTCATTTACTTGCATTCGTTCAAGGGTATTCTTTACCAAGCTGGTGACATAGTATCCATTGAAGACATAGAAGGTGATCTGTATTATGCCCAGCTTAAAGGCTTTCTTCAAGACCAGTATGCACAGAAAACTGCAGTTATTACCTGGCTTCTACCAGTGGTTTCTAAGCCATCACACTTTGATCCTGCTCTCTTTTTACCAGGTGCAGTACATGTACTTGTTATGAATACAACAAATGTAAGTTAACATCATGATGTAAGTTAATATGGTGTAAGTTGACATCATGATGTAATTTTCCTTTCATTTGCTCTGCCTAAATTATTTTAGGATTGTATGCTGAGGACAGGTGTACCTCTGATTTTTTCTTTCAGGACCCGAAGAAGACACTCCTAGACCAATGGAATGTATGGAGTTTGTTTGCCGAGCCCCAACAGAACTCTTTAAAGCAAGAAGACAACACCCTGCATTTGTAACTCCACGACAACCTGACCTTAATGATTTAGCAACAATTGCAGAACAACTTCTTCAAAATGAAACACCATCAGTAGTTAAAAGTTGACAACACTCTGGTTGGTACCCACATGCCCTATTTGGGTATTGCACAGCAAATTTTATCTTGGTTGCAGTTACTTTGAAAAGTTTATTTGATTTGTAACCATTTTAGCAAAAGATACATTCAGTTCATGACCAAATGATTTTGCAAACTTAGTCATTGAAATTATATTCATGATTCATAACTGCCTCACATGTAGATATAGAGATGATGGCAGTTGTGTGTCGTACAACAAACTCTTTATTTGACCAAACCTTTCCTTTATTTCCTTATTTAGAGTACTATTACTAATTACTTTTAACACATTCTCCATACTGTTCTCTACACTTTTTCTAAGGTTCTAACAGGGAAAATTTGTTTTCAAAATCAAGAGCTGCTTTAGTAAGGTGACAATCTCCTTTTTTCTCATGACCTTATTGTTTGATAGATGGGTTATACTGTAAGGTGAAATTAGGTGCTAGTCACTCCTAGGTGTGAAGGGGTTAAAGCTATCACAATTGATCTGAGAATATTCGTATTACATTGCTCTTTCTTCAGTTCTGCTTTTTAAGACCAAATAGAGATAAAATGCCAAGCTGGCCCCAGTTGTTCAATGGGCGGATAGGGCTATTGAGTTGATAAATCACTAATAATTTTTGACAAAACTTATATTGCTACCCCAGGATAGCATTTTATCCAGTTGATAGTATTATCCACCCTTCAAATAACTAGAGCCAGAGTGGCAAATTTCACCTCATGTAATTGAAAACAAAGTAAATTTTCAAATCAAACTTTGAAGTTTGATCATCCTGGACACAAAATGCTATTCAGCAAAGTGGAATTCACAACAAGTGAATGAACCCTGCAAAATACTAAACATGGTTTAACAAAGTTACAAACCATCCTTCTTTGTCACAGAAAGTAAAAGTGAGTGTCCAATTGCCAACTACAGTGTGCTGGCAGTGTAGCACATTCCTGGCAACTGGCTGCCATTTCTGGGTAATCATTTACCACAGTAATTGATAGAAACTACTGCTGCTTATTTTCCATGCTGTAACCAACTGGGGATGTCAAAAATATCCACTTGTTTCCATTTCAATGGATTCAGCACAGCATACAACAGCTGGGCACCTAGGAGGTGTCTTGGCATCCAATCCTTTCTCTACTGTGTTTACTTCTAAAGAGCTCCTGGATTAGACCAATTCAGATACTGTTGCTGATGTAACCTTCTCCAAGTTGTATTGACAAAAAAAAGATTTGGAATATTCATAAGTGCTGATCATAACAGCACATGCTGGTGCCACTTTAATCAGTCTTGCTGACCCACCTTTCAAAGAAAAAAGATCAAACTGACACCCTACAAAGACAACTTACAATTCTAGCAAGGATTTTGTGTGAAGGGTTTAGGATAGGGTTTTGGCAGAAGCTTCTGGCCATAAGCTTCTGGTTTTGCACTGTATCTTCCCTCAGGCACTCACAGCCCCAAGACCATGCATGTAAATGAGACCACCATTAGTAATAGTATCATAGATATTAGTTATGCACTTTAAGGACAGCTGTGTAAAGTACTGACAAATAAAAAGTGATTACATAACTGTTTTAGTGAGTGCTGAACAATTCAAATACTAGTGAGAAATTTGCTACTTTGCAAGGCTTTTTGACACAGGTGGTACATTCAATCATGATCCCACAATCACTAAATAACATCACAGTTTAACTTAACAAAAGGTTACTTGTTTGTTTCAAATTCCAGATAAATGAATACTAGTAACCCTGACTACTGTAATTGGTAAGAATGAAAAACCCAAATTGCATTATTTGTAACTGCTGTATTCTCACCAGCAAAGAGACTTCTCCATCCACTTTCTCTATACAACTGAAAAATCAGTGAGAATGTGAAAGGCAGCTTCTTAACAGCACTGGAATCTTCTGCAAAGGTCATTTTAATATCATTACAAAATCATTCAAACAGTTTCTTCATTTTTAAACCTATAATTAGAGAGGTAAGTTAATATTGTTTAAAACAAACATTGCTTACAGGTCACAGACAGGTTACCAACAGATGGCTGACTGTTGGCCATCTGTCCACTGATGGTCAGCCAACACTTAGTCTGCAGCATAATGAAAACTGTTGGCCAACTGTTGGCTGATGGTCAGCCGACAGTCGACCAACAGTTGGCCAACAGTTGGCCAACAGTTGGTTCACCAACAGTCAACTGACAGACGGCCAACTGTCAGCTGACAAATGGCCAACAGTCAGCCAACTGTTGGCTAACAGAGGGCCAACAGTACCTTTTGGGAACTGTTCTTCACTTTTACCAATGATATGTTACTCCTTGACATAGAAGAGCACAATTAGTTTAATTTAATTTATGAGATTCGCCAGCAGGTAGGGACACCACAACAGCTTGTGACAATTACTGCGGGCCCAGTAAACCTGCCCTTCCCACCTCAGGGGAGGACATCAACCACGCAGTAAACTCGTGCATGGGAAATTAACTTCTCCTACCCCTAACCCTGCAGGAGACAGGGCCTACAGTTTATTCGTCCTTATCCAAGAAGAGTATAATATCTATCCATTTCTTGATATTATAGAACGGTAGCAAATTCTCCTCAGTTATTTCAAGACCCTGAGTGTTGGTCCGGCCAGGGCTTGAACCCTCGACCTCCCGCACCACAGTCCGGTGCTCTACCAATTGAGCTAACCAGGAGGTAGTTAGTACATGATTGATCCTTTCTCTGATAGCTAAGGGATACAACAACACACAACATAGCTTAACCAGTGAAAACAATAGAATACATACTAAAGACAAGTTCACCAAGTTCCATCTGTCTATGTGTTTTCACCACATCAAATGGAGTTGTTATTAATGCAGCCATCTGCAAAACAATGATTTTCAGAATTCACTAAAAGTTAGCAAACCATTGATAGGTAATCTAATTTGACCATCTGTCCAACTGTCTATCAGTGTATCTATGTATCTATATTTCTATCTATCTGTATTTCTATCTACCTGATGAGTCGAACTGTACAGTCAAGCATTTCGATTGGCTCCTGCTTATGACATTGGAGGGCAAACATATAGATGTCACCATTAACAACATTTTGCTTTTTCATCACATAAAACAAATAGATTGTATGCTTCTGTGAACCTGTACAGTCACAGATCACAGATGTCAAAATAATGTGAAAAGAACATCAGTAACGTTATCTGTAAACTATTACTGAACAGACATGGAAACATGCATATACAAGTATTCAAAAGGAGTGTGGTGGGTGATTGGGGAAAATGATAGTACTGTCCATTCCTGATAACTTGAGCTTTTGAGGGAAATTGAAAAACCTTTCCTTACATAGATAGTCTGAGTCATCGGAAGGTTAAGAAGAAATGACTGAGAAAAACATGTTTTCCAACAATTAATGTTTTACCAAATGCATCTCAGTACAACTGTTGGGTGAAAATGGAACATTATGGAAAACAAATTGAAGATGCAAAGCTTAGTGAAAATACACTGTAGTGTACTTATCAACTGTACTCTAACCCACAAAAAAGTTGAAGGACTTGATACAATTTGTGTAATACATTTCTTTTGCATCTTATTCAGAAAAAGTTTGAGGACAGAATAGTTCTAAAAGTAGTTAAGAAAATGTTAGGATGTCCTTTGATTATTATTTCAGTATATACTTCAGATCTGTGAAATAGCCTGAAACATTTACTTGAACAGTCTGAAAACATGACCCATTCTTCTCTATTAACAAAAACCCCAGTCAAAAAAAATAATTTTCTGGATTAGAGCAGAGTACTTCTAGTTTTCACTTGTCACACATTGACAAACATGGTGAGAGCTAAATACTTTAGGGAACCATAACCTCGAGGTTCCCCTGTTAATTATCATTTGCCCAGTTGAGGGCCACTAGTTACTCAGTTGAAACACTGTTCCATGTTATCCTCATTAAATAAAGTTGATTGATTGATTGATTGATTGATTGATTAACACAAGGTTTGATTTAGCAAAGGTTCACCTTATCAAGTGTCTGCCATGGAATGCAAAATATGAAAGTAAGAAAATAGGAGAGTTTGTAAGTTTAAAACACGAGTGATGTAAGCATCACGTCTTGTGTAATAAATGGTCTTCTGTACTTCCAGCACTGTTAGTTTCATGATGGTAGGGTTTCTTAGTCAAAAAATCTCCTGAATAAGATAAAATTGTTTGTTAAAACACCAGGGCAAATTTGGAGAGCTGACCTGTAAGCCTATACTGCACTACAAAGTATTAATTTACTTCAGCTTCAGCCCATGAAATGAAATAATGGGACTTTTACTCACAGCTCCAGACAGCACTCCAGAAGAAAAACTAGCAATAAATCCTGGCTCAGTGAACTTTGATTTTAGGACTTCATAGCCTGTCCAATATACAGCTTTTAAAAGACAAACAGGAAAACAGCAACAATGTTTAGTTCAACAATAAGATAGAATTTCTACTAAATTAGAATGCACCAGTGCTAAATTTGAAATATCCTGTTGATGTTGTAAGAGAATGAGGCATGTCAATCAGCCATGTTCTGACATTTATCTGACCAATGTCTTTATTTCAAGTTTCAGTCATGACGGTAAAATTTGAACCTAGCTAGGGGAAGTAAAATTTGTTCAAGTGTAAAGGAATTTGAGTTTACCAAGTTTGTTAGCTGATAGTATATGACTGGAAGAATGGGGGTCAAGTCCAAGGAAAATCAGATCTTGGTTGAGTTAGTGGAAGGTTTGAGTCAAATAAATATTTAAGTTGGGACAAATTATGCTAATTAATACGGTCCCAACCTGAGAATGGTACATCCCTGAGCAGGGTAGGTCCTAATCCATGCCAGAGTGATAACACTCCACCTTGCTGAATGGCAACCTTAATTACACTTAAAAGCTCTGAAGTCAAAATAATAAAATTCATTAGAAATAATGCAAGAAACACCTACAAAGATGATACTCACATTTATTGCAATCATGTTAAAATTTCAAATACTGTCATACATAAAAATGATGTCTACTTGATTCATCTGTTCCATTTCAATGGAAACACTCAACAGACAAAGTGCAGAAAAAAGAACTACAATCAAGAAAATAAAAAAAGCCAGACACCATGAGTAGTAAGTAATGCAACTTGGATGTGCAATACCTTTATAACTAAACTCCTTTCTCGATTGCAGTTTAGTTCTGATCATTTCTATTGGTGATATGCATGTGATGGAGGCAGCTGAAATAAAAAAAATATTTTTATAGATCAATTGAATTGATCTCCAAACCCAAAACACACTGAATATTGTTGTTGCTGCATTTGGAGTAGAAACAACGTAATAGTTACACAGCATTTCCTAGACCCCAGTTAATAAAGAGTAGTCACGTTGATGATAACTCTTACCGTACATCAGTAATTAAGTCAGTGAGACTGAAAGAAAGCAATAGGGGTCATTAAGTTACAATAATTGTTTCAAGTACTGGTTCATGAATAGTTGTGCATGTAATTTTCAAATGAACTTTGTTGGTTATACAAAATGATTAAAACAACAACAAAAAAATTATTACTTCGCGCAGTAACTCCAGAACACATCGGTGACCAAAAATTTTCTTCTCCCTCTTCAAATCCATACAGCACTTTAAGCTGGTCATAAAGAGTAAAATAAATCATTGTGTTTGGAACAGCCATAACTCTGCAATACAACCATAAAAAAACACGTCAGTCAGCACTATGAGAAACAACTACAGTTGTTATGGTAAGGAAAAGTTTTTGGCAAATAAATTTGTAGCAACAGTTGAGACCTTGGTTCAGCTGTCATTTAAAATGCAGTATTGTCTTTACTACTCTGTGTGTATGGTCTACTAAGAACTTTTTCAGTTAGAAGCTCCAGCCCAGTTTTCTAGATAAAGATTGATAAATGACTGAAACCTGGCTGAAATATCAGCTTCCATTACCTGTAATCAAAACTCACGGTGGGAAAAAATTTCTCCCTATTACATAATGTAGAAAGGTGGGTATTATTGTTCAGTTATTTGTGTATAATATTAAACAGCAATATTTAATTCTTATTTAACATAAGTATGTATTAATGCAGAGTTATGCTACAGGCAGAAACAAGTTTCCTAGAGCAGCCAGCCAAGGGTGCACAATTTGAAGGACAACTTTTTGTTGACAATTTATGGGATTTTCAGAAATACTTTAGTGAAGAGATATTAAAAAACTGCCACATTTCCCAAATAATGACCAGATAATAAATAGTTTCATTAAAAAGCTTTTTTACCAACTCTTAGATGTTCAAAAAATGATCTCTCCATGTAATGTCTTCCAATCGATCTTTTCCAATCCCAGACATCTAATAAGAAATGTTGAGCTTCCCTTAAATGTTCATTGACCACTGTACAATTTCCTGTCATGACACTCTAACTAACCCCTTTTCAAAATTCCTTAGAGTTGTTTATGTTCTTTTATTACAGCCATTTTGAAATTACCACTGATTCTTACAATCTGCAGTTTATTTACAAATCCCACCAATTTCCATCTAAATCACAGCTTTTACCCAGCCAATGAAACAGTTTTACTAGAACACAACAACCAGTCAGATTTCAAGGCATCTTTAAAGTAACAACTCAAATTAACAGAAAATGAAAGACAACTTTTGTAACTTTTACAAATCAGCTCAGCACAACAACAAAATGTGTGTGCAGACTAAAAAATCCTGTATTTGAGTGACTGAATTTTGTAATTTCAAAATGGACATAACAAAGTGGTAATTGAACTTTGTGCTGAGCAATTTTAGTCTAAAATCATACATGCCCATGTGATTTCAAATCAAATTGCCCTCCTCTCACTTCAATTACCAAAATCTCTATTGCTGTTTGTTCATATTTATTCTCTTAAAATTCATTATCAGTAGAGTGCTTTAATTGCCCACCAACTCATGCACAACAATAATTTCTTCAAGAGGCTACAAACCTTGCTTCAGTGAAAAACCCAAACAATTCAAAACAATCTCTCTCAGCAACAGTCAACCACAATATTGTTCTGAATTTCACAAACAATTTAATGGAGTTTAAAACAAAAAAATTGTTCAAACTGTCATCTTACAGGGTTGGCGGTAAGCCTCTCCACAATGCTGAGATGCCTTCATAGCGAGGAATTTTGATTAGAGCATCCTGGAATTTAAATACACTGTTTTTTAATTAATCAACAATCATTCAAAGTTATACATGTACACATTGTTGAACCCTGTACTCCATTAAAACAGTCATGTCATTCCATTTTAAGAATTATCAATCAAAATATCAGCTGAATAAATATACCACAAGGAAAGAATCACAATATATTCAAATACAAAAATTCAACTGGAACAAGCTCCAAGCGCAGCAATTTTAGTCCCCATTGACGGCTAAATTTGCAACAAAGATTTGGCAACCTGTGTTCAACAATCATATTGAAAGCTGTGGAATTTAATCTTTCACATTTTAAAGATAAGTGAGATAAATAATGGTACAAAATGTTGTTTTCCACTTTTTTATCTAGAGGGAAGTTAGCAAAAGTGTCATTTTGACAGTTAGAATTGTGGTAGCCATGCTACTACTGGCAGCATTCTGGTAGAAATTTCCAAGAATTTTTCTGGGCAATTTCCCATGGCTTCTTATCCTGACCATTATAATTTTATGTTGAACATTTTTATTCACAAAATGACTACTTTGAAAAAGGTTGAGCTTGAGGCCCTTAAGTATAATCATAAATGATCAAGACAAAAACAATACTGGTACTTCTGACAGCTAGTTTAAAGAACTAATCTAACTGATATAATAATAATAATAATAATAATAATAATAATAATAATAACAATAATTAAGTATTTATATAGCACTAGTATCCTCAAAGTTCAAAAGCGCTTAACAAGAGTGACTCAATAGTAATATTACAAAAATGCTTTTTTAAAAAGGAAAGTTTTCACTTTGTTTTTAAAAACGGACACTGAGGAGCTGTTCATAATGTCGGACAGCAAAGTGTTCCAGAGTGTGAGGGCAGCTACGGAAAAAGATCTTGCACCATAATATTATGTCTTCAAATTATACTATAGCATGGGTACTAGTGCATTTTTAACAAATTTCATACATGTGCACTGTATGGTCTCAAATAATTTTAATTCCAACCCACAAATATACATGTAATTAGTTAAAAAAGGAAAAAATTCTAGAGGTACAAAACTTTATAGATTTCTAAATAGACAACATATTTCATTAACAGTAGTGTTGACATGGTCAGACTTACTAAAGTTGAATTAAAGGGAGGATGAAGAGTATGAGGAAATGGACGGAATGGGGATCCAAGATTGGCACATAAACACAGATGATCCATAAGGCCATTACAGAATAAGTAACAAGGAGCTGAAGGATAAAAAAAAAACAAAACAAACAAATGAAAATAAAACCTCTGGAGAGAAAAGATATATGTATGTCATAGTTAAAACTGATTTCAAATTGCTTTACTAACCATTATAATGAATATGAACTAAGGGGAAATACAAATTGACCTACAACCCTGAAGATTATTACTATTTTGACCATAATTCTGTTTTAAACTGCCACATATGCATTTATGAAAATAGTCATAACATGAACATGATATAAAAAAATTTAGACATCACAGTTAAATAAAGACTCTGGAAAATTAAGGACCAGGATCAGTATTTCAACAACTAACATGTACCCCTCCCCTAACGTGTTATCAGGTGAATATTGTTAGGCTAGGATGGAGGGGTGGGTGCACAGATACCGACAATGATACCAAATAAACATGGAGATTTCCTTTGTTCTTGGTTTTAAAATAGTTTTCCCTTAATAAAGCATTTATGAAACCAAAACACAAATACTTGTACCACACAATAGATAAGAAACATGATGGAAATAACTTGTAAAGAAATTTTTTATAATAACCATTTTTCAAGGATATCTTGTAGAAAGGTGTAAAAAATTTTTCTTGATTTAAATTCTTTAAATTTGAATTGCCTCAATCCCTTGCTTCAGATATGAAAGAGTCTTGTGCAGGGATTATTCGTTGTTTAAGACATCAATTTAAGCTTTCCCTCTCAACCAGCCAGTTTAGCTGTGTAACCAAAAAATTGAACAAAACAATAATACTCCTCCTACAACTTCTTGTCCAATAATAGAAGTCATTGATTCCAAAGGAAAAAAAGAGTAAATAGGTGTTCTGGCATTTGATCTTTCTATAGTCAGACTCCAAAAGGCTCAAATTAAACATAATGCTGATTTTTCTCCTTCTACTCTGTTCATAACAAATTATTTCCACTTTGCAGTTCATCACTCAAACAGCTATATCTTTTTATCATAATTTTTTTAAAATAATTATTTCTATTGTTATTATCATTAATTTTGTAGCAACTGGCAATATACAAATGAAAGTGATATACAAGAAAATTGAGTCAGCTACCCCATTAAAAAAAAAAAAAGCTAAAGCTAATGCTAGGAGAGCTATGGAAGGCAAACAACAGAATTGACAAGAATTGACTACTATTATTATTTTTGTTAGTATCATTATTAATATTAATGTCACCATTATTTTAAATTAATAACAAAAGTTTCATAAACAACAATAAAATCACAGGATAGCAAAGTTTTACATTTTGGGATAGGCCTGAGCTGGGCTTGCAGCCTTGTTTTTACCACATCAAGAGGAGTCACTAGAAATAAACAATAAAAAACATGAACATACGACCAAAGTAGTTCAAACATTAGCATCAGTTGACTAACTTGTATGGTGCATTGGGGTACATAGCTCATCATTAAAAGAACCTGATCTTCAGTAAGTTTACCCTTCTGTATAGCTATGCTTAGTTGAGGTTGCCCAATTACAAACCAAAATAATTCATTTCATGTTCTCTGTGATGTTCCATTCATTATCCAAACCTCCCCACAGAAGACACTATTACAATTTGCATTTCTCAGATATTTTGGCCAAGATGACAAAAGATCTGAGGGTTTTGATTCCAGATGGCAAAATGCGAAAAAAGCATTTACAATCACCAACAAACCATAAAGTAGTTGTTTCGGCACAGCAAGTACCTACAAAAAACTTACATACCTACCAACCCCTTTCCCATGCTCTTGCCTACTTGCATGTGTATCAACCACTCCAAACCACAGGGGGCCCAGACAAGTGACAAGTCTGGTTGTTTATTCGAAATATAAAGGAACGTATGGGAGAATACTGAAGAGTCTTATTATCGTAAACTTATATCATGAAATGTCTGAGTTAAAGCTCAAAAAATAAATGTAAACCTACCTCATTTGCTGTGTATTGTCATTTGCTGTGTATTGTCATTTATGTGGCTCTAAATGGCGAATTTGAGCGATTTGGTGGGTTTTGCATCGACTGTTACCATACGTTATAAGAAGGAGACAAGGGTGGAAAGCTCATTTTCGACCACTCTAGCACGAAGCCAATTTTCACCCAGAAATAAGAATCACCCGGCTTCCAAATCGAAAACCAGATAATCTGAAAGGTTGATGCTTCTTCTTGTCACATTCAATCAAAGATCCATTCAAAATCCAAGCGCTAACCGCCAAAACATTTTCGAGAAATGCAGCTTTCGAAGCGATCAGCATCCGCGGCCCCAATTTTGTGTGCCAAGGAGCAACCGTCATGCTGTTTGCCCCATGCTGATTGGATGATGCTAAACAATGCCCGATTACAAATGCCTCATGTGGGAGGGGAGTCAGGGGTATCTTCACGCCAGCGATTCATCTACTGACTAGCCTGGTGTGAGCCGTCGTGTCGAGTTTCCTTCACGCGACATAAACCTCACACCAGGCTAGTCAGTAGATGAATCGCTGGTGCGAATATGCTCCTGACTCCCCTCCCACATGAGGCATTTGTAATGGGGCATTGTTTAGCATCATCCAATCAGCGTGGGGAAAACAGCGTGACGGTCACTCCTTGGCACACGAAATTGGGGCCGCGGATGCTGATCGCTTCGAAAGCTGCATTTCTCGAAAATGTTTTGGCGGTTAGCACTTGGATTTTGAATGGATCTTCGATTGAATGCGACGAGAAGAAGCGTCAACCTTTCAGTTCATCTGGTTTTCGATTTGGAAGCTGGGCAATTCTTATTTCTGGGTGAAAATCGGCTTCGCGCTTGATCGGTCAAAAATGAGCTTTCCACCCTTGTCTCCTTCTTATAACGTATAGTAACAGTCGACGCAAAACCCACCAAATCGCTCCAATTCGCCATTTAAAACCACGGAAACGAAAATACACAGCAAGTGCGGTAGGTTTACATTTATTTTGAGCTTTAACTCAGACATTTCATGATATAAGTTTACGATAATAAGACTCTTCAATATTCTCCCATACATTCCTTTTATATTTCGGATAAACAACCAGACTCGTCGCTTGTCTGGGCCCCCTGTGTCCAAACTACTGAAATGTGATGTTGCGTCATATGACTTCAGTTTTTGTGAACGTGAAATTTGCCACTAAACTCTTCCTTTTGAGCATCCTAAACTGTTTCAGAACCAAAAATACTGACAGATGAAGAGGTTGTCTCCTCGAGTAAATAAGAGGTATCTTTGAAAACATTTGCTTAAGACTTACCAATGAGACTGGTTATCAAAGCTCCTGACCCTGACGATATCATTTGTTGCAATGGTGTTATTTTTCCGGAACTATGAATGGAACTTCTCATGGTGACAGGTTTTTAAAATGATTTAGTTTTAAAAACTTATGAATGTCTACTTTCAAGTTGCAACAAACATGTCAATGCAAAGGAAAGATATGTTATTATGCCGTACACCACAACTTTTTAATGAAACACTGTCAGCCATGATTATCCACCCGTTTTCAGAGACGGAAGATTGGGTACGACGCTTCTGGTGCCAGTCTCCTTCTTTTGCTCTGCATGGCCGCAGGTGGTGCTCAGGAAAGTAGAAAAGACTAAGTAAACGACTGCCGTTTTTGAACTCTCAAGGAAGAAGAATGGGAAAGGAAAACATCTCGATAATTAGAAGCTTACTCTTGTCTTTCGCGTGCAAATGGGATTTCAAATCAGGGCCAAGTTGCTGAATAATCAAGAGAAAATCTACTGGACTCTTCGGGGACTTTCTCGCTCCATTACATCTAAATTCAGTAGTGCGTTTTTGCTCAACAAAGTGAAGCGCCGTGCGTTTGGTATTCAGTAGATCCTTTAAATCAATTGCACAGAAATCAAAGAGTGTAGAATGGTACAAAATCTCTAATGCGCTTAATTAAGCCCAAAGCTGAAGAAATTTTCTTACAAACAGTTTCAATATGGGTATTCCAGCTTAAGTTTTCATCGATAGATACACCGAGAGACTTTGTTGACGACACCCGCTCAATGGGAAAATTATTAATGGTAAGAGACGGATTGTCAGACAAGTAAACTCGCCTTTGCCTTGAAGTTATTATTAAGAATTCGGTCTTAGTCAGGTTCAATGTGAGTTTATTAGAAGACACAGATTTTAAATCTTTTTTAAGATAATCATCAATTTCGTTTAAATCTTTGCCAGCGTAAGTAATGCTGGTATCGTCAGCATACATTCGAGGATGAAAAAAATTAAGGCCCTGAGATAAATCGTTAATATAGAGTAAGAATAAAAGCGGGCCCAGAATCGTGCCCTGAGGCACACCGCAGTTGAGGAACTTTGGCGTCGATTTAGAACAATCGATTTGGCAGATCTGTGTTCGGTCAACTAAATATGAGCGAAACAAACGCAAAGTTAGTCCACGAATTCCGTACGAACGAAGCTTAGATAAAAGAATCTCATGATCGACTGTATCAAATGCCTTCGTTAAATCTAAGAAGACAACAGCATTGATCAATCCACGGTCTATATTAAGAGCCCAGCTATCGGTTGCCTCGAGTAGAGCCGTAACCGTCGAGTGTAATGAACGGAAACCTGACTGATGTTTGGAAAGAGGATTATACTTCGTAAGAAGGACATACAGTTGATCATAGATTATCCACTCAAAAACTTTTGCTACTACAGGGCTAGGAATTACTGAAATGGGGCGATAATTGGATGGATCATTGCGCTTGCCCGAATTTTTGTAGAGAGGGGAGACTCTAGCATTTTTCCAATCATTCGGAAATACACCTGTTTTAAATGATTGATTAAATATCAACGATACTGACTCACAGATTAAATCGGGGCATTCCTTCAGAAGTTTGGCGGGGACATTATCGGAGCCAGTTGCCTTAGTTCTGGAAAGTTTCGATAAAAGCGAATAAACATGTGCAGGGGTGGTTTCACAAAAGGAAAACAGTTTGTCAGTTTCGATTAGAAATTCGGAATAGCTAACGGCCGCCTCTGCAACATCCTTACTAAGATTTGTACCGATTTCCAAGACAAATGTATTAAAGATCTCCGCAGCTTCCAACTAGCTCTCCGCTTTTTGGCCACAATATTCAACTTCATTTATAACTGTTCTGTTTGATTTACGACAAGTTAGTTCATTAATAGTTTTCCACGTTTTCCGAGTGTCACTATTAGCAAACTGAGGTGTTCAAGTTTATCCCATGTCGAGAAAGGTAGATAAAGGGCAATATTTCCAGGGCGAAGTTAGCGGGTAATGACCATGTACAAGATCTTTATGGTTGGAGTCTCAGCTCGCATGAATTTATGAGAAGCTTTTGGTCTATAGGAGAAGGGGAATCCGCCACGAATTCTAAGATGCTTAGGAATGTACTTTCTTGAGAAAGAAACCTGCTCCCGATTTTAATTCGATAGACTGATCTCGATGAAGCAGTCCACGGGTTACCCTAGACCTTTTGTTTAGTAACCTTGGTTACAGAGAAGCTTTCCGTTAAGGTTAGCAAGATCCAATGGTGAATTTGGAGTTTTTGTCAAGTTTTCTGCTTTATTTTTCTTTCTCCATTTTTTGTGTTTTTAATCGTTCCATGTCGACTTACTTGTATAGTTCTATAAAGTTTAGACGAACGCTATTTCTATAGCAACGATATTCAAAGCTCGGAATGCCCTCCTTTGCGAAGGGAGAACGACAGTTCCTATCGCGCACTTTTGACATAGGAAGGTCTTCTTCTTTCTATTGTCCCCTTGAACCCCTGGAGTCTCAAAACTAACATAAGGAATCAAATTACCAATTTCCCGATGGGCGAAATAAACTGGGCCAACCAGGTCGTATTTGTAATTTCAAGTAATTGTTTCATCAAAAAATTTCGGCTTACAAAAAAGGATTTTTATTGGACTTCGAAGCTGTAATTTTCTATTCGCTGTTTTTGTTGTTGTTGTTTTATTAAAAAGTACCATGCTCAGGGAATGTAGTTTTGTGAAAAAAATCCAGCGGTTACCGTTAATTGATTTGCTTTTGATTCTTTGTATCTTCCTTGCTGTGATTTGTTCTTTACCCCTACTTCCTACCCTCCCCACCCTCAAAGAACGGTGAACTAATCGGCTAAGGTTTTGATTGGCGGAATTAAATGACGTGCCTGTTTTCAACCAATCGATTTCCCGGCGAGAACGAGAAGATTTCTGGAGGTTTGTAATATGGAGAAATAATGGCGTTTTCCGCCCAGACAGACCATGGGCAAAATGAACGTAAAGATGCAGTTTTGTGCGAAATTGGGAAAGAAACATCGAAAGATAAGGGAAAGGTTGGTGCCAGCATTGTAGGTTTATATGACTGTCTCATTGATACGGCTGGGAACTGTTTTTTTTTTTAATGCAAACTACGAGGGAGCCATTGTACCACTCTCGCTTAGAGCGTTAGCATACAGAAACTGGCTATTTTCTCTTTTTTTTAATATTTTCCTTCCTTCTTGCAGTTTTTAGAGTTGCACAATTTCTTAAGTATTAATTCTAGTTCTCACACCTTTTTCGGAATTGTTACCAGTTTGTCCCGAACCCCGCTGCCAAGCCGTTTGTACCTTCCAACTTGAATTCAACATTGGGTCACTCAAACAGGACATGGACAACTATCGAAGGACAACAATCAAGGGTAAATACTGGGTTTTTCTTTCATTTGATATTCGGAGTTGAATTGCGTTGTTTTTGAAAACACAACTGTTCCTAGTGACATGATTTGAGAAGCGAAGCGTCTTCTTTCGGGTCAGAGCGTAAGCTAAACCAATGCCGCTTGGCTCCGTTCGGGGTCGATGTTTGTAAAGAAACAAGTAACGGTGCATGAACAATCCAAGGTTCCTCAACTTTCACTAGTTGAAAAATGTTGAAAATTACAGTTTGTATGTGCTATTGCCTTCTTCAACATAGAAACTAACAGCTATATAAAAAAATAAGGTAATTGGATTCTTACAATTTCGAAACACGGTAATATAAGCGTTTGCCTATGCTAGAATTAGCACGCTTTGATCAGCTCGATAGCTGCCTTCAAGTTTACTCACTCACCGGCATTGCCATTTCCTTATTTTAGTGCAATAATTATTGTTTTCACGTATGAAAAGGCGTTGTTACTTTTTGTGATAAAGTTATTTCTTTGAGAAAAATAGTGTCCGGGCCACTAGCTGTTGTGATCGTCCGTTCAGTGTGGATTTGCCCTGAGACGTATTCTTTCTCCAATTTGATTCACCTGGCGTAACGATTTCAAAAATGAGTTTTTCGTTTTTGTGGGTAGAATAATATACTCATCTTGGAGTTAGCTCCGACCGGATTTTAGCAATAATTTTACTTAGTATACGTTTCGTGTCATGGTCATTGCCATTCCAATTAGAGATTCGGCGAACCCGAAGGCGAGAGATCCATTTGTAAATATCATCTACTTTCTTTGAACAATTTTCATTTTGGGTACTTCGTCTAAGTTTTAACTTTGTGGTATTCGCTAGTTTTTTTTTGTGTGGTATCTGGAGTTCAGCTGTTATACTTCGAAGTCCGGCAAGTTGCACAACTGGATCAAAAGGCTGTTGGATATTTCATTGAATATCTTCCTCTTTAGGGCCTTTTCCACTTGGAGAGAGATTTTTCAGGAGTAATTTTCCCCTCTTGGATTTGTCCACTCGGATTCATTTGAGTCAAATGGCAATTACTTTTTTGTAGACTTGTTTATCAACAACATGCTCTGTTGTATTAACAACTTTTATTAGATGGTTAGTGCTTGTGGTTGATATGAAGTGTGCCCTTATTGGCTAAGTGATAGGGCATTATTCTCCAGTCATGCCTGCAGGTTAGTTACAAACAAGAGGCCATATTGCAGCCTTTACTTGGGCTTCCTAAATGAGAATAGAGTGATGGCATTGTTGTTTCAATAGTGGAATTTGATTTAAAATTATTTTCGACAGAAACGCCTCGATTAGTTTTTTGATTTTCTGATAAAGATGTTTTAACTTGTTCTCTGGAATCTTGCTGGTTCCTTATCATGGCCTTGCAACACGTGGCATTCACAATCAACATGTTTGTAATTGTGATGACAACACGAGATCTGATTTCCCCTATATTTTATTTTTACTTAAGTATCATGGTCATGTACAGATGATTGTATAGCATCCTCAAATATATTGCATTTTTTTTATTGTTTTCAACATTGCTGGCACTGATCAAGCTTACATTCATAAACATCATGTGAAGGTGCATGATGTCTACGCCTAACCTGATCATGTAGTATCTTGCTGTTGTCAGCATGTAAACTGTTCTTGTCAAAGTTTTCTGGCAAAGTAAATGTACTTTTCATATCAGTTGTCATGGTTTGTACCCTTTTTCTACTCATGGATTGCTTGTTTGAGCTGGTAAGAACTTGTTTGAAATATTTTCAAAGAGATGGCAGAACAGCCCCTTTCTTAATGTGTGCTCATCATCAGTTTTTAGTTATAGTCTATCACCAACTCTGCAAACATTTGAAAATGACTTGAGCACATTGGCTATGACCCTATTTGCTATACTTGGGGACAAGTCAAACTTGCATTTACACTGTTGTAATCAGTGCCTACACAGTAACAATATAGGAAGATTGGTGCAGATGGCAGGGTATTTTAAAACTGTGGCCTTTCAAGAAGCCCAAGTTATCTAGCAAGTTAGACACAAAACAAATGATGATTCAAGAACTAACTTCTAGTGGAAATTCAATTATGCAGTGATAACAAGGGCCATTAAAAACCCCAAAAGAGAAGACTGTACCTGCAGCTGAAAGTTTAAGAAACAGGAAAGATTGAGTCTGAACAATGCAAAAAACCTTATTGTCCAATTTCTAGCCAAGAGGTTCCAAAGGTAAATCCTATTTCAAAGGAAAAAAATTAACACTTTCCTCCTATGTCACCCAACTTTACACAAGTGAACATACTCTTACATTTTTTTTGAGTCTATAATTGGGCCAGACACAAAATCATTTAAAGTTTGTGGTCACATAAATCACCAAATAAAAACATTGGCAGCAGATTTATCAAACATCTTCACCTTAATACCACAGGAAGGTTGTAATTTCTCTGATTCTACACCAAGCATCTACAATTTCCTGTGGCAGTTGGGGTTGCACCTCAGTGAACTCTTAACTATATGTAGGACACAAGCAGGTTTAAATCAAGTTAGGAGTGGCAGTGCTCTTTTGCATTGTGTTTTGGTGTGATCAGGGAATCATCAGTTATGAATAATTCATCAGAGAACCTAAGTTTACTTTCCTTCCTTCAGTTTCCATCATGTGTAAGCCAGCGATACATGGCTGCAGCGGTGAAATGCAAACGTGAGACTAATCATTTGCACCATCCGCAGCAATGACACCTATCCTGCGGTGTATAGACAACTTTGGTGCCCATGCTCTGCATTAGAAAGAGGTGGAAAGGCAACACAAAAATAGAGGTCACAGGGAATGTCCTAGGCTTTCTCTTACTTAAAGAAACAGATTTCTTTTTGTTGGGAATTTAAAAGAAGACAAGGGCATCAGTAGGAACCACAGAAATAGGTCTTGTTGAGGGAATTTGAGTCACAAATTTCAACCTATTAATTAGTTGTGGCTTGACAAAATATTTGCTCCTTATGGTTGTGATGCATCTTGAAAATTAGGAGTGTTAAAAATCTTTAGATTAAAAATGCTAACGGAAACATATAAGTGTTTTCTTTGCTTGGAAAATATAAGTTGTCAGCTTGTGTTCCATCCATGGTAAAAAAAAAACATTTTATTTTATTTCTGAAGGGTTGCCTCCATAAGCTTGAGTAACCCAATTGTGTTTGCCTTCTTTAGGTTTTTAATCTTGGTGGAAACATCACCAATTTGAAAGCTGCAAGGCACAATGTGATTGTCACACAGCCATACATGAAAGGTCCTCATGGTACAGATTATGCCAGTAGCAGTGGAATCCCTAAAGAAGAACCTAGGACACCTACAACCCCTCAATCTAACAATCACATAGCTTTTCACCTTGTTTCTAAAGTTCTGGAAGATGAAAGCATTTTTAATTTTACAAGCATTGAGGAACCAAATCCAGGTGTAGAGCCATTCTCACCTCTTTCTCTCATACATCCTGATAGGTATGGTAACTCTTAGAATCTTTTTTTTTTAAATTAGTATGATAGTATCTTAAACTGTAAAAATGTTGATAATAATAATAACAATTTTTATAGCGCATTTCCGTGCAGTGTTCTAATGCGCTTGACAATACTGTGCGGGAGACTTTTCCAGACTGCCAGCGGCAGTTTACAACAAATGAAGAAGAAATTATACAGATGCCCCCTCCCATGTGCATGACCTACATGGATCATAAGCGACTAAATACAGGGTTGTAGAGAAAGCTTCCAATAACTAATCATGAGCCTGTTTCTTCTCAATTCCTGTTTTATATGTACATTGTAAGTCCACTCCATAAACTTTTTTTGTTTGCGTTGAATGAAAGCGGGCAATCCTCCGCTTGCCTGCTTGGGCAGTTAATCAGAAAACAAGATTCACTTTAACTTGCTACTGGGTGCTACCACCTTTTAACAAGGAAAGATACCATAAACGCTAGCAGATAAGCTGCACCCACAGATAAGCCACACCCTGAATTTAGCAGCTCGAATGTTGGAAAAAAAAGTTTTTTTGATAGAAATCAAAAGAAATCCAAAGTCAAGTCTTGAGAAGTCTTCTTCATCCACTGTTCGTCAAATGTAAACTCATCATTAACATTGCAACGGAAAATACTTCCAAGTGTCACCCACAATTTTAGCACTTTAATATAATGAGTTCCACCAACTTTGACATATGATTGGTCATTTTCTGGTATTTTTGGACAGGAATTTCTTCATTCAACACAGTTTTTCTATAGATTTTTGCATTACAACAAGAATGTGAGCAGAACATTCAAAGCGTAGTAACCAGGTATTTGATCTCATGCGAAAATGGATATTAACAACACCTTTTTCATATTTTCCAGCAGATAAGCCACACCCCCAATTTCTAGCAAAGATTTTGGGGGGAAAAAGTAATGGGTTATCTGCGGGCTTTTATGATATATTGCCATTAGCCTCTAGGGTGGTTAAATCTGTAACAGATTCCCTCGATTAGCAGCTTGATATACTGAAAATCAATGTGTTTGTAGTCCCATATCTCAAAATCATATGATAGGTACAATGGGATAAAATGCATGTATTGATAATTGTTAATTGTTCACTTCAAGCTCCCACCCAATCATTTACTATTATGATTATTACTTATTTACAATGTGTTGTTGTTTTTGGTTGCTCACACAATGGGGATTTTTGTGGTGCGATCTAACATTGCTGTGTGTGTGAGTATCTAAGCTCAAGTTGTGTTCGTTTGTTGTTTCAGTTTTGATGTCACATCTCATTCATGGCCCCTTTCAGTGGCACCCAATGGTCCCATTCCAGTTCCTGCACCAACACCCAATCACAGCAATGTAGCAGCTAGAAACTTTGGTTCTTTTCCAGGTCAAACTATTTGGTCATCAGAAGTGATTGCTCATAGCACCCCACCTTTGTCACCAGTTGATTTGTCCCCACCTTCAAGTTTGACTAATTCGTCACTGGGAACTACCCCTCCATTTCCCTCAACACCAATAATTCCAGCAAGTTCTCTGACCAATTCATCTGGAAGTACATCACCGATTGTGAATGGTTATAATGATGAACTCTCTCCCTTCCCATCCCCAACTGGACAGCAGTTTTGTTCACAGGATACCTTGCCTACTGTGTTCATGCCAATTAAAGATGTGTCTACAGGAGGCAAGGGATGGAACTCTTCAGAATCTGGCTACTATTCAAGTAATGGCTCCAGTCGTCGTTCTCAACCCTCTCCAGGTTCAGCCCCTGGACTTGCACAGTTCATTTCTTCTCCTAAGCCACGCCCACAGTCTCTGAATCTAACCAATGGCCACCATTATTGTAGTTCACCCAGTATGTCCCCTTCCTCACCACCAGGACCAGTTCATAGCCACTCAGCTCCAAAGCATTTCAGTTCAAGTTATGATATGAATGGAGGGTCATGGCTCAAACAGACATCGGGCAGAGAGCATATTCCTCCAAGCTCTTTGTCAAGGGATGCAAATGGACACTCTGGAGGTCATGTCATTTTGCATCGTACCAAGAGTCCACTGACAAGTGAACTGCACTATAGACTTGAAGAATGTTATGAACAATTACGGTGTCTAGAGAAGGAACGAAAGAAGGTACTTAACAGCCTTAGCTTTCACTTAGTGGTTCTCCTTTTGGGTATTTATTGGACACTTTTTAATGTAGTATTACCATTTATTTTTGTAAACGTTTGGACGTGTTTATCAATCTGTCTCTGTCAGTCCTTTACTCATCTTTAATTTAGATTATAGCTAAAAGGCATAGCAAAGAACTGTGCCTGTGAGATTAATTAGTTTGCTTTCGTTGTAACTGAATTTTCTTTTTGTTTGAGTAGACTGAGGCTGAAATCTCACATCTTTGGTCGGGACGAAGACTTTCTTCTGGAAATGCAACAAACCTGAGACTTCCCCCCAATCCATCTAGAGTAGACAAGCTAATTATGGAGCATTTGCGAGAACATGCAAAGGTATTTATATGCATTTAGCAATCATTAGTTAAAGGCAAAGCAACTACTTGGGAACTGATTTTCCTTAGACCATTGTTCAGATTTACCAGTGCCCAAAAGAGGAGCGGTGAAGATTTTCCTCTATTCCTTTGCCATTGATCAAGGAACTTCCACCCTACTAGAGGGTGAGTACCAGGGTGGGTGATATGAAAACCCCCTCTGATGTGAACTTTTCTTTTTGTATTCAAAATTGTTTAAACCTTTTTTTGAAAGACATCAACAATTAAAAACTATATTAAATGGGTGGGAGAAATCTCAAAATTTGGAAAGCTTTCTTTTTACTTCGAAAATGAAGTTTCAGACCACAGTGATCAGACTATATGATCATTTAGTACCAAAGTGTACTCTGGATATGTTAATTTAAAGTTTGTAGACAGCCAAACTGGGAAATGGAAAGATGGCACCTGCCCTTCATTGTTATACCAATGAACAAGAAGGTATACCGTAATTTCCGGCAGTTTACCTGCATGGCTGATTACCCACACTGGCCGAGTATTGCATACAGCGAAAAAAAAAGTCAACAGATTACCCGCACTGGTGGATAACCTGCACCTTAAGGTGGCTCGTACCGGTTTTCATCTTTTTGATGGTTTGTAACTTTGAAAGAATACAACAGAAAGACTGACCAAGGCCAGTTGAACACTTTTACGGGGTTGAATTACATAATCATTGGTTATCCAGAAATAAGTGTCATTTCGTCACTAGCAGTTTCCATGGCAACACTTTCATAGGCTTATTCAGACGCATTTTTTAGCTTGTGGCTTAAATAATTCGAAAACTAA